ATATATGTGTGTATGATTTCATATGACGTTATAAGTTAGGCGTGACCATGAAGGGAAAGAATGAATGCAGGGAAGAATGACAACGCCAATATTATGAAGTGAGACAATGGCGGCTTGACCTGTCGTATACTACCTTTATTACTTTACACTGCCGGGTTTATTCTATACTACTTGACCTGCCTTATATACTGTCTGTTATTCTATACCGCTTGACCTGTCGTATACTACCTTTATTACTTTATACTGCCGGGTTTATTCTATACTACTTGACCTGCCTTACATACTGTCTGTTATTCTATACCGCTTGACCTGTCGTATACTACCTTTATTACTTTATACTGCCGGGTTTATTCTATACTACTTGACCTGACTTATATACTGTCTGTTATTCTATACCGCTTGACCTGTCGTATACTACCTTTATTACTTTATACTGCCGGGTTTATTCTATACTACTTGACCTGACTTATATACTGTCTGTTATTCTATACCGCTTGACCTGTCGTATACTACCTTTATTACTTTATACTGCCGGGTTTATTCTATACTACTTGACCTGACTTATATACTGTCTGTTATTCTATACCGCTTGACCTGTCGTATACTACCTTTATTACTTTATACTGCCGGGTTTATTCTATACTACTTGACCTGCCTTTATATACTGTCTGTTATTCTATACCGCTTGACCTGTCGTATACTACCTTTATTACTTTATACTGCCGGGTTTATTCTATACTACTTACCTGACTTATATACTGTCTGTTATTCTATACCGCTTGACCTGTCGTATACTACCTTTATTACTTTATACTGCCGGGTTTATTCTATACTACTTGACCTGACTTATATACTGTCTGTTATTCTATACCGCTTGACCTGTCGTATACTACCTTTATTACTTTATACTGCCGGGTTTATTCTATACTACTTGACCTGCCTTATATACTGTCTGTTATTCTATACCGCTTGACCTGTCGTATACTACCTTTATTACTTTATACTGCCGGGTTTATTCTATACTACTTGACCTGACTTATATACTGTCTGTTATTCTATACCGCTTGACCTGTCGTATACTACCTTTATTACTTTATACTGCCGGGTTTATTCTATACTACTTGACCTGCCTTATATACTGTCTGTTATTACTATACTGCGCCCTCGTATACTACTTTATTTTTGACCTGTCGTATACTACCTTTATTACTTTATACTGCCGGGTTTATTCTATACTACTTGACCTGCTTATATACTGTCTGTTATTCTATACCGCTTGACCTGTCGTATACTACCTTTATTACTTTATACTGCCGGGTTTATTCTATACTACTTGACCTGACTTATATACTGTCTGTTATTCTATACCGCTTGACCTGTCGTATACTACCTTTATTACTTTATACTGCCGGGTTTATTCTATACTACTTGACCTGCCTTATATACTGTCTGTTATTCTATACCGCTTGACCTGTCGTATACTACCTTTATTACTTTATACTGCCGGGTTTATTCTATACTACTTGACCTGACTTATATACTGTCTGTTATTCTATACCGCTTGTGATGTGTTGTCTCAGTTTAAGGGACAAAAGGCAAAAGATCTGGGTAAATTATAATCTAAAAGAATGTTTATATAAGGATGAGAAATTGATGTATGTAGGCACAATAATCCCACCAAGCCTTAAAAATTAAAATAAACATTGCCAGTTAAAAGTCCAATAATTTTGTGTATAGTTATAGCTTCATAATGGAGGTTCTCCGAGCTGGTGACTGCAGTCCGATCACTAGTATGTTATTAAATATTTCGAAAGGGTGCGTTGAATAAGTTGATACAGAGGTCGTTTCCTACGTCCCAAAAGTTGCCATTTTCACGCCCGAGGCATTGTCAGGCCATCCAGCTGTGAATGGGCATCTTTCTTTTATGGTAGTGCAGTATTTGGCAGAGCTGTAGTGTTTAGAGCACTAATGAATTCTTTAGAAGAACGGCGCTTTTGAGAAACAAAAGACCAGCTATTATTGTTATTACTTTTACTTTACTTTTATCCTCTGCACCACTGATCGGCTCGTTAGCCGCTTGGGCGAGCGGTCACGTCTCTGTTACGCACTGTTGGCAAGTACTGGGCATGCACCGGCTCCTGATTGTACCTGAACCTGCTCCAGTGTTGGTCAAGTTTGGTCTTGAAAGAGCTCATACTCGGTGCCGCCACAACACTTTCTGGTAGATTGTTCCAAGAGTTTACAACCCTCACTCCGAAAAAGTTTGCCCTCACAGTTTTCTGGACTTGCGGCTTCTTCAATCTTGAGCTGTGACCCCTTGCGGGGCGAGCGTCCGCCAGCTCCAAGTAAGGACACTCGACTGAGTAGTGCCCCTTGTGATGCTTATACACCTCAATTAGGTCTCCCTTTGCCCGTCTGTAGTATAAGCTAGGCAAGTTCAGGCGCTCCAATCTCTCAGGGTAGCTGAGGTGCCGAAGTGCAGGCACCAGTCTGGTGGCCCTCCTTTGAACATTTTCAACCAACTGACAGTCCCTAGCATATCTCGGGGACCAGACGGGGTGACAGTACTCCAGATGGGGAAGCACTTCACTCATGAAGATCGTTACGAGGGACGGACCGTCTAGATATCTGAACGACCTTCTTATAAGACCCAATAATTTATTTGCCTGATTTACCTTCTTCTCGCTATGGCCCGAGAACTTCAGCTCATTGTCAACATAAAGGGAATTGAAGCCAGTTGAGTGGAGCGCTAGCCATACTACCATTTTGTATACAGAAGGTTTAGTTTTCAGCGTAAATCAGCAGTCTTTACTAACCTCTGCGACCTATTTTCACTGGTATACGTTTACTGTGTGCCCAATAAACTAGCCACCTCCGGGGCAATCTAAAAATCTAAAAAATCTCTATAGCTATGTCGGGTATCACAGGGTGTCGACAATGTTCTGTAGACCTTTTTCTTTTCAGTTTGCTTTACAACTTAAACACATGGATTTAATGATGGTGATAATTATATATTATTCATTACTTTGTTTACTATTTCGTTACAGCTTCATAATGTGTCGAGAACATGGATGTCAGTAGAGGTTTACTCACACTGGACTAATAAACGTAATAAAACATTTCCTTTGAGAACAATTTATAAAAAATTACAAATCCCACTTGTTATCATGAGTCCACATATTTGTCCAGCACTTTAAAGTTGGGAAACTTCAAATTATTTCCTACAAATCTTCAGGTTATACCTTCTTAAAGGTGGTAACTCCGGACTTCTTGATCTTAGTGTAGAGTTCAGTGAAAGGTTACGATCACACATAAAGTGGCCAACGACAACCGAGGTCATAGGAACACTAGTAGACTATTAACTTCTAAACACTTGTAATCATCAACTAAACATATCCAGTCTTCCAGTCTAGGTTATACACAGATTGCATTGCTTGTGTTATCGCCGCCCTCATACGCTGCGGCCTCTGACTCCCATGTGGCCGCGCCTCGCCAGATGTTTGTGGACGCACAGCAAGTATTTCGTTGTTATGATCATAGATAAGGTCTCGGGACGCCTCTGGCTGACAGTATTGTCCAGCCCCTTCAAGTGTTCACACACTAGCTATAACTAGGAGTTACTTGGAGCGATACTAGGAGTTAAGTGGAACTATAAGCCCGCACACGTGAGTGAAAGTACACAGTGATTGTTTGTATTATGGTGAAATGTTGTGCTGTTGCTGGACTCCACTTTAAAATATAATCACACTTGACATTCATGCTATGGTGCCAACATCTCTGAATATTTTTTTTTGCACTTGTCTTGTATCACATAATGAATCCGCAGTAGTGGCCAAGACAGACATAGGAAACCGATGGCTGTTTAGGTTCTTTAGGAGCCCCCAACTGTTCTTTGTAATTTTGTTCACGGTTGTCTTAAACTATTCATTTATTGTTGCTACTACTGTACTGCTTCTACTGGTAATTTTCTGGGGTAAGACGTGCTTCTTTACATAGATTCTGCATGACTATTTAGCGAGCTTGGATCTTTAACCTCTAGTGTTTGTCGCGTTTGAGATCTTGAAGGTAAGGTTAACACGTCTGCTATCCTGCTTATGATTTTGAATGTCTCTCTCTCCCTCTCTCTCTGAGGTCAGCCCTGTCGTGTCTTGTTTGAAGAGTTTTCAGTTGCAAGACCCTCAACCATGATGGTGTGATAGTAACATGACAATTAACATGATCTGTGGTTCACAGCATTCATATAAACAGAGAAAAAATAAAACACACACGCACATAAACACGAATCAATCAATCATTGGCATCAGTGGGTGAATTCCGTCATGGTGTGCCATCAATCGAGTTTCGCCAACAGCAGATCATAATCTCGACTGTTTCTCTCAGTTTAAGAAATTCATTTGGCGAGTCTCGTCGCAATCAGCTGATAGCAGAGGCGAAGCTAAATTTGTTTCCTGTTGTCATACAAGGATAAAATACTAGCATAGTCCTTGGTTGTCATAATACATAGAAAACAAGTATATGTCACGGTGCAATGGCGACTTCTAATTGGTTGATTTGTTAACCAATAAGAGACAAGTGACGCAAAAGAGCCAAAACTATTGATTTGTAATAGAACCAAAAATCGTTTCATTTCTATTGTATCGCATTTTAAAATTATTCCTGTAAATTAAACTATATATATTTTTTAACCGAAGTCACAAATTGAGTTACATTAATGAGAATGAATCGAAAATAAAGTGTTTGGTGCGCTAGACTGAAAATGATGCATTGTATCGCACAGAGAATGAGACTAAAGGTATTTTGGTGCTTGATTGTTCGTTGCTTTGTTTTGCTGGCCGTCAACATCATAGGTCTTGTTATTCTTAAGTTCTCGTTCTCTTCCTTTTGTTGTTTTCTTCTTCTGGACGGTCCACAATGGATCTTTTAACTCACACATATACTGTTCTTGGTCTTCTTGCTCTTCTATTTCTTTGTTTTCTTCGTCTTCATGTTTCTTCTTTCTTCTATTTCTTTGTACTCTTGTTTCTTCTGTTCTTCTTTCTCTTGTCTCTTTTCTTCGTTCTTATTTTCTTTTTCTTAACTCTAAGGCTAGCCTCCTTATAGCTTATTTTTTTCTCGTATCGCAGCTTGGCTATCCTACACTCCTCCCTCCACTTGGGACACTCACGGTCGAAGGAGGAATGAGGGCCGTCGCAGACTGTGCACTTCTTTTGTGTTGCTTGACACGAGGTGAGATGGTGTCCGGTCGTCCTGCACGTGGCACAGACCTCCCGAGCCCGGCATTTCTTGGCTGTGTGGCCGTAGCGCTGACAATGGCAGCACCTTATTGGTCTTGGGATGTATGGTTTTACTGGAACGGTGTCCCATCCCAGTAAAACCTCTTTGGGAATTGTTCTGAGGAAACCGATCACGGCGTAGATGGCTTTCCCGTCGGGTCCTGACAGCTTCCTCTGAACTACACACTCCCCGATGAGTTCTTGTAGTTCTTGGGTGAGAGATGACCCCCCACACTGCGTTGTCACAAAGTTCACGGGTCACCTCAAGTAGCACATCGTTGATGTATGTCGTTTCGTTAAGGTACAAAGTCATCATCAATTGTTTGCCTTGCCCTCATTCACTGAAGGTAACCATAAGGCGGGCGATCTTCATTATCTCCTTTATCTGATAACGAAAAAAAGTGTTTTTTTTGTCAGGACGAGGAGGTTCAGTTTCTCGGGGTGGGTTGAATGTGGAGGAATAAACCTCACGGTCTTCATCCACCACCACAGGTAACTTATGGTTCTGGTCTTCTCTCGGCTTAAGTGCTGGCTGTGGTGCTTGAGAATGACCCCTTGGGTAACTGAGAGGATATTATCGCATCAACGAGCATCCGATCCTGGCGCCCGTGGTTTCCTATGACAGTACTAGTTAGAAGGCAGAGTAAAATTCCCGGCCAATATGGCTCTACAGCTAACTGACAGGGTGCTAGATACAATACAGGGGACCCCTTTATGTGAGGGAAATTTGATAAATGTCATAAAAAACGAGAATTTGTGCATGCAAAGGTGAAACTGAAATATTTTTTGGCGCAGTGATGAGAATGGGGCATTTCTATCATGTACAGTACAGTCCCGTTGTAGCTCCTTTGAGTTTAGAATGACGGTGGTGTTGGCGGCAAAAGGCTCTCTTGTGAACACCTGTGGCATGTGGAGATGGTGGCTACTGGTGGTGCAGCAGGGAAAAACCCAGCCTCGACCTTCCCCCATATATCCAATGTACTTGCACACACCTTTATTGTTACCGTACATAAGAGAGGATTTGAAGCTTAAAAATGGTTCGGCTGATGTTCTGAGAGGCGATTTGCTCTACAATGTCTTCACGTGGTTCCAAGGTACGCAAATGTGTTTTACTCATAGTTCCACCAATAAACAATCCCTGGCGTATACACGCTCGTCCTGGCCCCTATAGGAGACGCAGGTTAAGTATGTCGACAAAAGCTTAAACTGAAGAGCCCCAACCATAGCGAGAACACTTAGGTTTAGTAGTAACGCTTCCTTCTCTAGCTGTCACTATACTGGATCTTCATGTTTTCCACAAGCCTTTCGACACACCAGCTGCAGTGAAAACGGACCTTCGATATATTTCATACAACAATAATTCCTGCGATGTGTGACCTTACCAAACATCAGGTTTCCACCGGGTACTCCGGTTTCCTTCTGTAGTAACACAGTTACCAAATACTAGACCATAAAAGTTCATAACAAAGTAACAAAGAACAGACCAACCCCCTGAACAGCTAGTAAGCTGTGAAATGATAAATTAAAATAAAACAAATCGAATCTATCTCGATTAGTTTTAAATCAAGCGAAACCCGACACCTCGAACCCCTTACACAGACAATAACAGAGGCAAACAGTATTTCAGAGTAATGAATCCTGAACTTTGTGATACTTACAGGGGTATGTCTATGAGATTTACATTAGTTAAGACTAATCTTATTTACATACAAATTATTTTCGTAAAATCAGGTGGGTATAGGAGGATGTCAAAGCTAATCCTTGGCTTTAGAAACCTTGGGTATGAAGACGTAAAGACAAATTAATTTGTATTCTACTGAGAGACGTAGTTAGAGGCGATGTGATCGAAGTGTATAAATAGTAGATGAGGTTCAATAAAGGTGAATACACAGCCAGGGTTTTAAGTTTGACAAATATAGATTTAGGCGTGAAATGGTGAACATTGTTTTGGAAATATAACTGTTGATGAGTGGAATACATTACCAAATACGAGCATTAATTCGAATTCGCTGGGAAGTTTCAAATATAAGTTAGATATATGAGTGATAAGGGCTAGGTGTAAACATGGCCAATAAGCCTGCTGCAGTTTCTCTCATTCGTATGACATTATATGTTCTAAGGTCCACCAGGGAATAAGTCGAGTCACAAAATCCACCAGGGAATGAATCAAGTAGCAGAAGGTCCACCAGAGAATGAGTCAAGTCGCAGAAAGTCCACCAGGAATGAGTCAAGTAGCACGAGTTCCCTGAGGAGTAATCAGCTGAGGAACGTCACTCAATACCCAGGAGTGTCAGAGTCACCCTCACGGGACCAGCCCAACCACTCATTCTACTTGCATCACTCGCTGCTCGCACGGTCGCACCCCCGCTGAATGCTGATCCCATGCTTGGCAGTCCTAATACATTTGAGCTAACTGGCAATATGTACTTGTAAATATTCCCCTCAAATCATTACTGAAAATACTTATCTCTACAAATATAGTATACTCACGTGTATTTCACAGTTGTTTTTGCGAGACATTGGTTGGCTGGATTATTCACGATTCTCGAAGCGAAGGCTAAAAATACGAAACATATTGGGAACTGAGGCAGCAGCGAAATTCTCGTTTTCTGAGATGGTGGGCTGACTGGACTGGGCTCAACCGCTCAGTGTGTGTGTGCGAGACCTCACGTGTGGAGTGCAATAGCCTGGCTCTGGTGACACAGTTTTTCTAAAGAACAATTTAGTCCAAATTCTTTAAACTTTTGTCGAGATATATTACAAATTTCAACGATTTACATAATTATACTCTTGTGGGGTGCGGCAACTGTTCAATCAGGTAAATAATACATACCGGTAAGTGTTTTTAATTATATAGTTTGATTTATGTGGTGAGGGTGATATTAAAAAAAAATCGTTGTATAAGTACGGATATTATACAATATTCCATATATTAGTGTGGATAGTTTACAAAGTTGTAGCATAGTTGGTTAGGTGAAAGTCCAAAGGTTTGTTGTAACAAACTGTATTACAACTTTTAACTGACGAGTGTGTGTATCTGAAAAATGATTGATTATTATTGTGTTTTGTCTTCCTGATTTGTTGTTGCAGAATTAACGATTATACTTAAAGTCAGTTGTGTCACTATTTCGTGTCTTAATTCTGAAATAAATTACCCTTCTCATTAGTCTCAAATGCTTAACCATTTTTTTGTCATTAAATCTGGGTGCAAAGGAAGTCTACAGGCAACGCTACTGGTCTCCACTGGGACGCTGTTCAGTTAGAATTACAGTAGAATCCCGATTGCATACAAGCGCACCAACACCAGATTAATATGGCAAAATTACCTTTTTTTTGGTCACATCCCATATACATTAATTTTCCTTCACTACAAACTTCCTGTGGGCAGCTCAAGTCATTAGATTTTAAACTTATTAAAAAGGATTGATTTATTGTCAAAGGATCTGACCCTATTGTTAAAATATCATTATTTAGTATGGGTATTGTAAGACAAGTAATGAGACATCTAAACCTATTAAAACAATTACTTCCAAGTCATGATTTATAAATTAATGATCATTTTGGACCTCAAAGTTGAATGGAGTTTGTAATGATGAGTTACAGGTTTTGATTGGCTGTATTAATGAGTTACAGATGTTGATTGGCTGTATTAATGAGTTACAGGTTTTGATTCGCTGTATTAATGAGTTACAGATGTTGACTGGCTGTATTAATGAGTTACAGATGTTGATTGGCTGTATTAGTGAGTTACAGATGTTGATTGGCTGTATTAATGAGTTACGGGTGTTAATTGTCTGTATTAAAGAATTACAAGTGTTGATTGTTTGTACTGATGAGTTAAAGGTGTTGATTATTGATGGTGAATCTTTAATCGTCGTAATTAATGTTTTACCTATTAACATATACATAGTCTACTGTGCTGTACTGTATTTGGTTGATAGTTTGGTCATTGCCATCTCTGTTGGATCCTGGATACTCATACTGTACTGTCAATCACTTTTCGTTCATATTTGACATTTATTATATACAGTTTTCAATAATGGGCGGAAGTCAGTGCGTGAAGGACAAACATTCTCTCGTGACCTTTAGCTGCAAGTTAGCCTAGTCAAGTGACACCTGGATGCGTGAGTTGTGGATTGATTTCCGGAAGGGGATTATCAGAAATTAATCATGACATACTAAACGTTAGCAATGTTAATAGCGTAGGGGAAGCGGGCTTGTATGAGAAAAGGTTGGGCCAAGTTTTATGTGGTGCCAGGCGAGATAGAGCACTATCTGAAAGGTTCATGATTTTCCTCGTTAGTTAATGAACACATCAAACTACGTTAATCTTCGCAGAATCTCGACCACGCACTAGCTGACTTCTTTGTCCCGAACCACAAATTAACCAATACCTTTTAGAGCTTCAAATGTGGGCAGTGAGGAGCGTTGGCAACACTCAGGGTATTCAAGGTGGGTAGAGAAAGATCAGGCACGCCGCCAAACGTTTCAGTGGAAGGTGATGTCATAATTCCCCGTGATTCCAACTTACGTAATATCGTAGATGTGGCCATATGACCTTTCATTTCCTGGTAAATCAGTGTTACTGAATAGGTAAATTCAAGCACTATAATTCTGCTTTATTCAAGACTAAAAAAAAGACTGTATTATCACTAATTATGATTAATTATATTATTACTCGCAAGAAAAGATTTGGTTTATTTTGATTTGAGGGGATACTGATGTGAACTGTGGCTTGATACACGGTTGACGTGAAGGGAAAACTGGTGAAACGAGTCAGTGCGGCTGGCCCGCCAGCTCACGGTAAAATACATATGCCGTACCTTCCTGTTAAGACCAATGTGTGTACATAGGCAGCGAACACGGGTAGAATGTGGGGATAGAAAACGAACACAGGTATTATGTTGGCATAGAGTGGACACGGGTAGTATGTAGGCGTAGGGAGTGGATGAGGATAGGCACAACTGACGCGGGTAGAAGACCTAGGTATCAAACACAGTTCGTCATTCGCCGATGTTACTTAAAGTAGATTCGAGACGATGTGGCACAACGCGGCAGGGTCGGAACAGAGAACAAACTGTGTTATAGCACAGTTCGTGATTGACGCCACACAGTTGTGGTAGGAGCTTCTGGGCATCCCCGTGGTAGTGATGTGGAGGACAAACAGAGCGCTGCTTACCTGTTACCCCTAATAATAAATTAAAATAACCACTGCTACAGTTATTATCTTACTCATTAAAAGACGTAGAGCAAAATACACTAAAATATAACAGATGTCAACATATGAAATATATATTTCTATTGAAATGTTTGTTTTCTGTTCGATGTGCCGCGTTGTGCCAAGTTGTCTTGAATCTATCTTTAGTAACTTCGGCAAATGACGAACTGGACTATTAGGGACCACGCTCAATGAAGACCTACCCCATATGCATTCTTCGCCTCTACGAATGTCTTTCTTAACTGACTTACTGAGACAAAAAAATAATTCCCTCTCGCTCAGCCCTTATTCTCTTTGCCTTCAACACCATCTGCCCCAAGGATAAGATACCACTGTGTTTAGTCCTTGATCTGCCCAACCTTCCATCCCACTCACCCTCGCCGCGACCTGCTCACATCACAGGCCCAACCTTCAATAATTAGAATACAGGTATTAGATTATTAGTGCGCTCAGCCACTCGTCTCTAACGACTAACGAAGTAGTTTCATTCAGTTGGCATATATCACATGCATAAGGCAGTATTACTAGTTTTACAAATTTGTAGAGTTTTCAATTGCATTCGTAACTCAACTTAGACTCTTGATTTGCCAGACCGAGTCTTCGTGTGTAATAATAATAATAATAATAATAATAATAATAATAATAATAATAATAATAATAACAGTAATAAATAAAAAAGTAATTAACGAAGTATTGAAATTAATACAACAGCCATAAGCTGAAAATATACAATACAGTTGACGTAAGTGGTACTGTAGAATTGTACATATATAACGTATAACGGCATTGGGGAGAAGGTCAGTTAAGGAATTTTAGCGGTTATAGTACAAAATTAAGATTGGCAAGGAGTGAACACACAAGTTAACCACGGGATGTTGATAATTTTTACAATAATTTTTTTCCACCTCTTCGCCTTTCTACTATTTCGGCCGAAGATGGGGCTGTTCTTAAAGTGATCATGTGTGTGTGTGTGTGTGTGTGTGTGTGTGTGTGTGTGTGTGTGTGTGTGTGTGTGTGACGGTGAATAGGAATAATTGTGAAATAGCGATGATTTATATGTACTTTTTAGATAATTCAAACCGGTCTCTCGATAAGGACAGCCATGTAGATAATCACAATACATTGCTAACCTAACAATATAACTTAGGTAAAGTTTGGTTATAGCCGTAAACGATATCTTAAACGAATTGCAAATTTGACCACATACGAATTAATATCTCTTAAGTTAGTAATAAACACTCAGGTAGTAGACAGCTATCAAACAGGAAGGTACTACCACCTGCGAAGATATTGGAAGCATAATGTATTAGTAATGGTAGACCCTGCTGCTATATGGCATCACAAAAATTGTGATTCCCAGGTTGCTGATCTGTCTTTCTGCCTCATTTGCACAATTGCAGGGTCTCAATTGTTTCTCTTACTTTGACAACACAACTTACATATATCATTTCTCACTATATATATAATTTTTTTTCATTTTTGTATTTCTTAATAGTTCTTTGTTATTATTATTGGTGTTATTAGTATTATTGTTACCTGTATCATTATTTTATTATATTATTTTTAATTGTGTATTTTATAAATTCTATTATTATTATTATTATTATTATTATTATTATTATTATTATTATTATTATTATAATAATTATTATTACATTTTCGCCCCCCAGGCACCTATGTGGGTCAGTGACCTGTGCCCGGGTGGGCTAACCCCCGTAAAAATAACTAAATAACTAAATAAATACAAATAAATAAATAAATAAATAAATAAATAAATAAATAAATAAACACATACACAGATACGGCAACTTTAGTGTTGGTACAACGTTTCATAAGCACGCAGCTATCATCCATTTCCTCCCGTTGTACCAAGTGTAATATGGATATTCTCTCCATGAGAAATCTCATAACATTTAGCTCCTCCCTCTCTTTTTGTCTCATGCTAGCTCACGTGCCCGTCATCCAAAATTCCCTAATCAGTTGAGTGGCGCTAAGCAGATCACAACACGTCAGAGCCTACTCACACCTTACTCAGCACCACTGACTATGTTGTCCCATTTTCACTGACTATGCTGATTTGACAACACAACTCAACTCATCCCCCGCACCACTCGGTCTGTTCTCGTTTAGATAAGTAGAACATTGGATCAAGTGATAAAATACATTATGGTTTAGGTGCCAATCTCCCGAGGTGACTGATCCCGGTGAGAGAAAATTGCTCCATAATAATGTGTTGGTCCTGTTTAGATTTATGTTGTATTATATACCCGATAGTATACTAAACAGAGTTGGCTACTCTGTTTGAGGTGTATTAGTAATAGACAATTTGTGATCCTTTGTCTAGTTTTTTAAGCCAAGTATTTCTTAATATATAATTGTTAAATTTCTTGATGTTATTATTAGTTTGAAATTGGAAGAAATAAGACTTTAATCGGGTGAAATTAATTTTCTTGTCAAATGTTCATCATGAATTTGTGCATTTTTGTTGAACTTAGACTCCTTTAGGTCAGGTTAGTTTGGGTTATACTGACATAGGAAAGGTAATGTTCGATTACGATAGATCTGAGATAAATTTACTTGGGATAGGTAAAGGATGATTATCTGGGTTGATTTATTT